TACCCACAACTGAGAGAATCCTTATTAATGTATGTGCAAGATTATATAAATGGTCTATAGTCACTGCTTCCATTCTCTAAAAGTACTTCTTGCTACCATGACTCATTAACTCAGCCATCTTCCTCTAACTCTGTAGAGAATTGTACTTTTAAGGCTACAAGCTCAATGGTCTTCCCTTCATTCTCAAGTAGCTGGTCTTTTCTACACCATGTAGGTACATTAAACATTCCTTGTTCTTGAAATCCTCTTATTTATTATCTTATAAAACAATGAAGATAAATTAAAGCAGAATAAAGACTGGAAATGGATCAATTAGAGATTTCTGAGGGTACAATAAATGGGACCTAAATGGGATAATAAATAAGTTCTTTTCTTGTTTCTCAAGTAGCTCCTTTTCAGTAGACTTCTGTAGCCCTTGCCCCAGTTGTCCTTGTTCTTCAAAGCTCTATCTTCTTCTCTAGGGTGAAACCTCTCAAAAACCATTTGCTAGAATCAAGTATTTGATTTAGTACGACAAGCTCTTATCTTGGAGAAATCATCCATTTTTGTACTTCAAAGTGTCAGCTCCCTAAAGTTAATGTCAAACTTCTATCTTCATCTTTGATGCACTCCCAAGTCTTCCTTTCAGGACTAGGTGAATTCTTTCTCCTGGATTTTAAGCCAGTATTATCTTTTACTCTGTCCCTTTTCTCCTTCTTGCCATGACATCTGACTAAGTCTTTCCTTGCAAGTTGTTTCCTCTGCTTGTTTTTTGGTTCCCCCTCAGAAATCTCTGACTGATTTATTTCCAGTTTCTAGTCTGCTATAGTTTATCCTCATTACTTTATAAGAGAAGTCACACTCAAATGGAAAGATTTTTCATGGCATTTTTTTTTTCTGGTTTAAAAACTTCCATTGGATCCTTATGGCTTGAGTAAAAGTCCAAGCTCCTTTATCTTGAGATTAAGGCTCAACACCAATCTTCCACTGTCTACATCTCACTCAGACCCTTCTTATCCTTTTTCCCAAAAACCAAATTCCTCATTCCTGTGTCCCTTCCTTTATCCCTCTTTGGTCTACATAACCCCTTCGTCACTTATCCAAATTACTCTTGATAAATTTCAAGTTCTGGTTACCATATAAAAAGCTTTACAGTATGTTCTCTCTTTTCTGCATTCCTCTGTCTGGTTTATTTGTTTGAGGTTTAGTAATTTATTAAACTATTAAAAATTGTAAGCACTTAAGCTAGATTTTATATGGTATGAAAACAGAACCTATGTCTCACAATATCTTCTATTTTTTTCATTACTTCACACGCTATGCCATGCATAATGAGTACCTCACAGGTTTTTATTTTGGTATTTTTTTATTTTAAAGTAAGGGTTGTGCTTTACATGAAGTCTTTTTGTGGTCATAGTGTCTAGTATTATAGATGCTAAAGTTGGTGGTAAAAAAATTTCTAAAAGACTCAGAAATTTTGCTCTACAGTTAGCTATTATTAATAAACATATCTTCTTCCCATCCGTATAGTGGACACATTGTGTCAACCTTAGAAGATTAGATTTTTAAATGACTCAGCAGGGGGCCAGAGTCCTCACCTTTTAATGGTACTCATCCTGAGCAAAAGGAGGGCACAGAGATGCTGTGAGTGTTACTCTTGCCCTTTTTGCTCTTGTTTTTACTGTCTTCTGTCACCTTGACATGTTGGCCTTCAGCAATGCCACCCTGCCTTGGAGCCTCATGATTGCAGGACTGGGGACTTGAAACCTCCACAACCTGTGAGCTAAATAACTCTTTATTTCTTTTTTCTTTCTTTCTTTCTTTTTTTTTTCAGAACCAGGTATTGAACTCAGGCCCTTGCGCTTTGCAGAGGAAGCGCCTATTCTACTGAGCCATCTCCCCAGCCCTAAGTCTTTATTTCTTTAATTTGGATGTCAGGTATCTTGACTCAGCAACAAGAGAAAAAATAACCAGGACACCATCATTGTCTTTGTTTTGAAGACTAATAGATTATTTTCCTTTTATAAGAAATAGTATTATATTCTGATAAAAAGGTCTCTCTAAGTCTTTTTGTTTTTGTACTTCATTATTCTCTAGATAATATTGGATTCTAGCAAATATGTTTTGAAGCTTAAAGAGAAAAATTAGCAGACACCAATGTACATAACAAAAGACATTATAGTATCCTTCTTTTATTTTATTGGAAAGGAATCATTTCTATTCTAGCGCAAACCATGTATTTTACATCATAAAGCAAGATATAATTTACATATTACATTTCTTATGAGACCTTTATATCATTATGTCATTCCCTTTTTTATTAGGTCACCTCTTCCGGTTTAATTTAACCTAGCAAGTATCCTACAAATCAACATCTTCTTTGAGGAGGGACACAGATAGTTCCTATGTGCTCATTCGCATCTGGATGAACGACCAAGCAGAGCTGTGCGCCCAAGTTGGGAGCAATGAGACTCTCCTCTGACAGCTGGCTCAAGAGCCAGCACACCATTCCTCCAAATCATGTGTCAAAGTTGTACTTTAAAAAAAAATCAATAATAAATGAACAAAACTGAATGCTGTCACTACATGTGTACTATTTGATCAAGTGCTCAAAAAATTGATGTTTGTGGAATTAACCAGCAATAAACATCCAGATGACTGACTGACACCAGTTACTCTATGCAATTTCCAGGTACTTCTTGTCCATGACACTGGATAAAATTCTGTACTTTCCCCTACTTATCACATTTATAGGGTCAGGCTTTTCTGTTGGCCATGGAAGTGAATGTCTGTCTATCTCTATAATTCTCTTCTCAGATTCTCCTCTTCTGAGATTCTCTTCTAACATTATCTCCTTCTTAGCAAAACATTTTCATGTGTGATTTCTGTTTTCATCTGTGATTTCCTATAATGCAAGCTCTCTTTTAGCTGTGCTCCTCTCCCTTCACACTCCCAAGGCCAGCCATCTCTGGGATTACACTCACTTCCAAAATCAAAGAATCTCTCAGCTTGTAAGGACACACTGTTCCTTTGAAACGTAATGCTACATAGCAACTCATGCAGAAAAAATCAGGAGTTGAGAGATTCCTTAGAAGCAAGTAGCACATGCTCTTCACCCAACCTACATGAATGTTTCCTAAGAAATGTATTGCTAGTGTGTTATAAGAAGAGGGAGTCAGCTGTTGAAAACAAAATACATAAGATAGGATTCCTTCACACTACTGGAAGAAACAGAAGCTCAGCACTTGAAATACATTTTCAGATGATGAATACTGGGCTGAAAAAGAAAATCACTCTTAACTCAATCTGATATGCCAGGGGAAATGCAAATGTTTGTCAAAAGTACATTTTACACCCTAAGTTCCTTGCCTGAAACTCACAGTACAAAGTTGGTACATTTGGCAAAAATCAATCTACAGTTTTTTAATCACTGGTAACTAAAGTTATTAGAACCAAGTTGATCAAGATAAGAATATAAGTTAAAAAGTTGTCTGTTCTGTGTGTCTTAAATTATTCTTTGGTCAAATATTATGACTTTTGAGATACCTGAAAAATATACCTATTTCTCATTTCCAAATACAAGGTTATAAGTATTTACAGCAAGGTGCTATTTCCTTGCTAGACAAAGCATCTAGGTACCATATGATTTCATCAGCACTGTACATTTTTAAAGTCCCTTTACTCCCATGGCCATTGTGCTGGACACACCAAGAATGCAGGAAAGATTGAAGGAGCAACTGAATAGAGCCTCACAACACCCCTGTGAGGTAGGTAAGTATTATCAAATCCATTTTATAAATAGGTAAACTGAGGCACCACATGGTAATGGTTTGGTCAAGTCCACCTGGCAAATTACAAATGTATGGCTGGAAACAAAGAGATAGAAACAAAGAAATATCAGTCATGGATCTCAGCCCTAGATGCTAAGCTTTATTTCAAAATACTAAAAAATAAAATTCCACAGTCTTCTTTAAAATTTTTTAAATTTAGACAAATTTTTGTGTATTCCACTTAAACATTCATTTTGTCTTTCGTATTTCTGTTGAGTGAAGAAAGAGCAGGTGACAAAGCATGTTTCTCTTCTCTAAATGTAATTTATATGATAGAGCAGATGGCATCAGCATTTCACCAGAGCTCAGGCTCCAGATTCAAGGGCACCTTTATAATCTTTAATACTTTTAGGTTCATTTTTAAAGCCCCAATGTAAAAACGGGTCTTCAACTGCTGCCCTGCCAGCTGCTTTGTGGCCTTCATGAGTATTTTTTTGTAAAATACAAAAAGTAGCAAAATACCTAAGATTTTATCACTGTTGAGATAAAAATAATTGTGATGGAGTGAAGGTTGCTTTTTGTGGTGTTTGTGACATTGCAAACTCAAGCTTGCGAGCTTTTATATATAATATATAAACACACCAGAAAGATGTAGCTTATGCCTTTCAAAATCATCTTTGTTTTCCTAGAGAAATTTGTCTCCCTCTCTCAAGTAAAAAGTATTTCCTCTAAAAAAGTATTTCCTCTAGCAAAAAATCCTGTGACAGCAAATTGTTTAAAGACAAGTTTCTGTAAGATGGCAAATTGGATGGGGATAAGGTGTGGTGTTGATGGTGATATAATAATAGGCAACTCAGAGTTAAAATCCATAGCTTAGATCTGGAGCTTAGATCTAGAGCTTAGAATTAATCAGACACAGGTGATCACACTGATCAACAAGCTAGTGACTAGAAGTTATACATAATTCTTTTTTTCTCATAGCTAATGGAAACCCTTCCCATGTCCAACAGATATGGAAATGAGAAAGGGAATTACAATGGGCACACATTATTCAGATTTTTGTTTCTCAAACATTCCTAAAGTGAACTGGGAAGATGACAGAATAAGGCACTGGGGTTCAAACAGGTTGCCGGGGAGTCTACAGG